ACTCTTTCCTGCCTATGCAGGGGGTCGGACTCGATGATCTATTGAGGTCCCTTCCGACCCTAACATCTATGAATCTATATATGGCTCCAAAGCCTACTACTAAAACGTAATGGAGTTTTAAGGGGAAGGTTCTTAGATAGCTGTAAAAAACAGCAACCACCATGCCAGAAAGAGGCAAAGGATGCTGTCCAAAACTGAAGCATATGCAAAACACACTGTAGCAAAAGCTTGGGGACAGGACACCTACCAGGAAAAGAGCATTCAGAAAAGCCCTTCCCAGGCTGCATACTGGGAAGATAGCTGGGCTAAGGAAAGAATAGGGAACAGCTGGGAAACACAGCATGCAACAGTCACAAGGCAGTCACAGGGGACAGGTGGAGCTCCCAGATTGGCTGGAAGGACCATGCACAGCACATCTGAAGCTGCTAAAGGCAGCACAGAGGAGGGAAGCAGTGGAGAAGTTCCAGGGAAGTGGAACCATGTCAGAACCCCTTCCCTGACTGGACAGGAGATGTGGCGGACAGCAGGTGGCAAGCAGCTTGGTCTGAGGGACATGTGGCCAGGCTCAACCCATCCAGACATCTGGGCAGCACCCAGGGAACCAAGAGGGGAGCAGCCAGAGTCAAAGTGAGGCTCGGGAAGGAACAGGAAAAGAAGGTGCACAGCAGCAGGACCCTCAGGCTTCCAGAAAGGACTACTACACTGGTTGAACAGGCAGGGCAAGCCCATGGTTTTGTTTATTTGTTTGGATTACTTACCCTTAAAGGGGCAAAGCTTGGGAACAGGGTCTGGCATTCCTTAAAAGAGTAACACCGGTAGAAAAGATGGAGCCAGAGAGACTAATTTGGAAGGAAAAGCTGTTGATACCTGCTGCAGAACACCACTTTGGGAGAGGCGTGGGTGGGGTATAGGGGAGGAGTACCACTAAGAAATCCAGCAAGACTCTCCTTAACCCATGCAACGGACTACCTCAAAGACCAGGTACGTTCCTATTCACCCCTTCTATCCCTTAAGACCAAAATGTGGCAGGTGAACCCAGGGTGAGTGGAACAGAGTAGAGCCGCTGATTAATACTTCTGCCAGTAAAGGACCTTAGCCCTCACCCATGCTACATACATATATACAGTATGTTGGGAGTGAGAGGAAGAAGGGTTGCTGCTTTTGCAGACCACCAAGCTTCCTAACACACAACAGGCAGCAAAGACCGAAGAAGCTGAGAGAGAAGACAATGAAGCACCTGACGGCTATGCAGTAGGAAAACAACTCTGAGAAAATCCTAGAGTGCACTCTTTGAGCAGCATACCTACTAGAGAAGGGGCCTGCATCAAAGAAACACCTGGCTATTTCACCAAGTTCTCTTCTGAATGAAAGCAATGGGCAGGCCCTCTCTCAACCCCCACAAGAATTTTGGTAACCAAACAGGTTAAAAGGTGTAGCACTATCTTCTGAACACTAAAGCATCAAGATCTTGAGATGAAAAGCAAAGTATATTGGCTATTTATATCAGAATGGAAACCTCTTCTGATAGAAAGTTATTCCCATTCCTGTGTTACAGAAGGTCTCCCAATCAGCATGCTCTATTAGCCTGATGTACACAGAACTCACCAGTTTGCCAATACCAACTATTACCTGTGAAATGCAGATAAATGGACTTCCTAGTAATAAGGGAAATGATAGAGAATGGCTTATTTCACAGCAGCAAATGACTGTGTTGCTCCCATGTTAGCCATACAATATACATATGAAGTATGTATTTTGAACCACACCTTTAATGTTTTGATCATCGTTGGATCAGTTGACCTAACATAGAAACTCTTCAGGTAAGGTTCAAACATGCCCTGAAAAAAAAAAAAACACCAAACAAAACATTTAAGTAGCAGTTGCATTTATATTTAAAAGTACAATTTAGAAAATGCTGAATAACGTTTACCTTTCTTTGGATGGACATAGTCGCAATATTCTGCAGAACAATATACTGCACCTCCCTAGAAATCAAACAAAGTATTTAGGGGTTTTTTGTATTAAACAGAGCAGAAAGTTGGGACTTGCTTTCAAAATTTCAGTATTTAGGTGATCTGTAAGCTAGTATTGCAAAATAGCATAAAGTTTAGAAAATCCAATATATTTCAAAATGGTAAAAGTATATATTTAAAAAAAGCACGCGTAGACTTTCTCTACACTGTAAGTACTTGGTTGCTTTAGATAAAATTTGGTCTCAGCTTAGATTTTTGGTTCAAGTTTGGGATACACAAACCTTGACAGCTAATACATTTTAAAATAAGATATTCATGTATATTTCCAAAGTATGCTGGTAGCATCAGTAACACACCACTTGCATATTTTGTTAATTTACCGACTCCTACAAAAACTTATCCAACCCCAAAATACGTAAGGTTCAGTGCAACTGTCATCCTTATCAGCACATTCACAGATAAGAGCTCGAGAGCTAGTCAATAGGTTGTACTCATCAACTGCACCTTTAATGTGCTCCTGAAATGGTTTCTTGGGCAGCCACACTTCCCCTTCACTAAATAGGTGGTGTTTGGGTATTAGTGTGTCATCCATCTAAAACACATCTAGCCTTTCACAGCTGAGTTTTCATTACTACTGGCACAAAGTCAGCATGCTCCCTGTCTTTATCATTTGGTCATCTTGTCATACCACTTTATTCAGAGTAGGCATAAAAGCACCTCTGAGCTTCTTCAGCTGACAGATACATCTTCTATACAATGTCCAAAGTTTCACACAATAAGGTATGCATGACAGCTTTGTACACTTTAATTTTGTGGAAGAAAAGTTGATCATGTATTGATTCCATACTCACACATATTCCATATATATACATATTCAGTGTAGTACAACAAGATATTCAAAAAATGTGTGGATTCTAACCATAATTATTTTTGGTTTACAGATTCAAAGGAGTGCACAAATGAAAAAACTGTGGATACTACTATGAAACTTTGAAATGCAGAAACTCAAGAGCTACAGATAACTTATTGTAAACAATGAGGGCAGGGGTGCCCAACCTACAGCATGAGTGCCACAAGTGGCATGGACACTTTGTGTGTGTGGCATGTGGCAGACTGAGGAGAGAACAGACAACCCAGTGGAAGTTAGAGCCGGAAGCAGAAAGCAGAGCAGCAGACTGGGCAGAGGACAGGGTTTGGAGTGGCACTCAGAGGGTGTGGAGTCAATTTGTGGCACGCCTGCCAAAAAGGCTCCCCCCCCCCATACACACTGGTTCAGGGCACGGATTTGAACGCCCTGGACCTTCAGTTTTCTGAACCATAGGTTCTCAAACTGTTTCATTATACATCATGCCATAATAGAACAAAATGTCTCATTGAATACTTCCTCTCCCATTCACAATTACAAAACATTCCTATGGAACATGGCAAGGAGAAATGCTTAATATATTTCTAGCTATCTTTGTTTAAATTTAATAGGAAGAAACATGGGGGAGAGTCACCATCATGTCACCTAACATCCCTGAATCATTATTAAATGTTCTACAGACCACCCACAATCCATGACAGACTGCAGAACATTTGATATTGGTTCACAGATCATACCTATAAAATTTCTAGATCAAACAGTAGGAGTTCCTTTCAGAAGTAAAATGGCCCTTGGCTAGCAAAACCACCTCAGGAATAACCACCCTGGAATAACTAATGGATAGAAAATGCGCTCAACATGCAAACATAAATGAATAAGGGCCATCTAAGGATAACAATTACAGTGATCAAAAAAAAAAAGTCTACTAGAGAAACTATAAATTATTATAGATCAGCAATATACAAAGAAAAGCATTTTGGTTTGGAAACTTGACCTTAGGTGTTTTACATCAGCTGGAGCTCTGTGAGTTATCTGGAATGTAATGCTGTGCTCTTTTGCTGTTTATATCTGTCTGTGGTCAAAGAGAACAGGAACTACCAGTATACTGTACTGTAACTCAAAGCACACTAAAAAGACGACCATTCATTTTTCTTCCAATTAAAAGGTAACCCATCCCAATAAACCCAAATTTTTCTAACACTGTTTAAAAGATGGGATATTATTTACAAATGTCATAAATGATCTCAAGGATTTACAGCAAATGCAGTTTTATTAAGATTTAGCACTCAACCAGTACCTGAGACTAGCTATATCTGAGACTGAGCCAGACAAATCATTTCTCTTAGGCACAACTACAGCAATTTCTTTGCATTTCAATTATTCGATGTTATCTATTTTAATGAGCAACTGATCTAGTAAATGCCCGTTTTGCCTAGAACAATATCATATTAGCTGAAAAGCTATTTTTGAACATGGTTTGCTGTCATGGCAGTTCCTATGGTGCTTACATGGACTTTGATCTGTTTGCCCAAACACATACGTGTGCTAAATATCTGTATAATTGGAAAATTAAAACTTGTAAAATAAGCAATGACATGATGTGACATGCATTAAACAACACAGCAAGTACAATACAATACAATGCAATACAATTAGAGGTGCACCGATACATCGGTCTCATATTGGATTGGCACTGATACAAGGAAAATTGACAATATCGCTTTTTTTTGGCAGATGGGGCTCATAATGTTCCTGAGAAATGCCCCGTGCAGGCACACAGCCACAGCGCAGCAGGCAGGCAGCCAGAAGCACAGCCCCACAGCAGGGAGAGCAGGTCTGACTGGTAAGTCTGTAGTGAGGGAAGGGGCGTGGGGGGTGCAGATCAAGTCTCCTGCGGTAAGGAAGTAGGGCTAGGGCTGAGGCAGAGGCAGCACTGTGCAGCCGGGGTGGGGAATGGGACAGAGCTGTGAGTGGCTCAGTCAGGGGGTATGGGGAGGGGGTGGCAGCTCCTGCTCCTGCAAGCACCGTGGGAGGGCACGGGGGCCATGTGACCCTGCATCTGCACACGGGGCAAGGGTGGGCTGCCGCTACAGGCTGAGACCGGGGTGGGCACTGGGCTCTTCCCAGCAGGGTGCTGGGCTGCACTCAGGGCAGGCAGCAGCAGCACTGGGAGGGAGACAAGGTTTTGGGGGGCTACAGTGAATTTTGGGGTAGTTGCAGCCCTCCCATAGTCCCCCTCCCAGCACTGCCGCCACCCGCCCCAAGCACAATCTGGCCCAGCACCCCGCTGGGAAGAGTCTGGCCCCAGCCCGCTGCAGCAGCCCATCCTCACCCTGCATGCAGATCAGAGGCGCATGCCCCACATGCCCCGCCAGGGTGCATGCAGAGGCAGGAGCATCCCCTTCCCTGTGCCCCCCAGATGAGTCACTCGCAGCTCTTTCCCACACTCCACCCCAGCTGCACAGCTCCTGCCTCACTGCGGGGGCTTTTATCTGCCCCACCATGTCCCTTATCTCCCTCCTCACCCCTTCCCCCACAACATACTTACCTGCATATCGGCAGTCAGCTCTGTATCTGCCAATATGGCTCGTTAAAAATCAGCCATTGGTATTGGTCCAAAAAATCTCTATCGGTGCACCCCTAAATACAATACAACAATGCAATACAACAAAACGACACAAATACAAACTAAAGAAAACACTTTGAAGAATGTTCCTAGGCGTTCCCAAGCAAATATCTGGAGACTGGAAATTTGGGTTCAAGATGTAGATTTGTTAAGGTTTGTTAAGGTTTCTTTATTTGTCAAGTGGCTGCAAACCACCACTTTATGCTGGCAGGGTGGTATCAAGAGATTTATTTAACAATTTACAAAACTAAAAGAACTACAAGTATTTTAATTTAAAACAGTTACATATAAGCTCTATCAAAGAAACTATTTTTGTACTGTTCTCAATGTGTACAACAATCAGTTAGCCCTTTTTATTCTCCAGTGACTAGAAGTGAAGTGTATATGGCTAGTGGTTCTCTAAATGAAGAATCTTGCAAAAAGATTCCATGATTTACATCAGTTCATAAATTTGGGATTGTACTGGCAGACTTGTGTAAGCATAGGTTTAGATCCAGTACTAATCATTTCTGTATCATGCGGTTATGTTGCAAGAAAATGTTTAATGAATTCAGTTGACAATTTAACTCACCTATTACTACGAAGCAAACGCACTAATGATTTGGAAACTATGCCAGCCTCAGATTTTGGTGCCAGGTGCCAATACAGCTGTGCAACTGCCATCACCACCTGAAAAACAACATGTTAACATGCAAAGCAAATTGTTAACTGTACAATATGTACCATGCTCTACTTTCAAGCTGCAAAATTCAACTCACTCCCTTGCAGAAAGAATAAGGATACACTTTTGAAACCAATAGGGCACATTTGAGAACCTTGAGGGATGTTTTTGTTTTGTTTTAATAATGCAGAGCTAATGAGTATCTAGTATTCTTACCAGCTCAGGAGAAGTTGCAGGGGGAAGGAGGGGAAATCAGTTATGAATAAATCACCAAACTGGTATCTTTAATAAACCAACATGTACTGCATTAACTATAAATTAATGAGAAAACAGTAGCTCTTAATCCACATGCAGTCTGCACCTTCTATTTTAAGAGACACTTCAGTAATACCTATTCTTTTGTTTCAAATACTACTATCATCACTTAAAACCTCTGCCCATTATTACATTGATCAATTTATAGAAGAGTATTTGCACTTTTGGCTTATGAGGACTCAAAAACAGAAAAAGCAAACTGTACAGTTATATGCTAGTGTTCCAAGTAACAGAAAGGTAAAACAGTGCTTGCAAGAGATCTTACAAAACATAACTGGATTTTATTTTCAAGTATTTTCATATCTTCCTGGGAAAGGGTAAGAAAGAGAGGAACTCCTGTCCTGCCAATGTTTTTAAAGGGTGATGGGATTACTTTGGTTAGTTACAGACCTATCAGCCTAATATTTATTCAGGATAAAAAGTTGTGGAAAGCCTGATAATGTAATGAATAAGGGATGAAAAGATGACAGTAATACCAGCAATCATGAATGTTTTATAAGACCTGTTAATCATCAAACTTTGAATTTGTACTGTAATTAAAAGTTTGGTTAATTAATATCTAATAACTAAGTTGATCTAGCGTTTTAAAGACTTCTAAAAGATATTTTATCCAATACTTCATTAAATAGTACTACTTGATTAAAAAATTAGGAATATACAAAATGCATGCAGTCCATATTAAATGGACTGAAGACTGCCTAACTGATAAATCTCAATGTATCTGAAAACAAAGAGCCTTCAAATAATGGGGACACTTGTACTACAGTTCCACAGGGACTTTACTTGACACAATGCTCTGAAAGAAGTGTCAAGCCAATGCTCTGAAAGAAGTGCTGGTGCATTTTGCCATTGCTGGTAAAATATGCAAATTACAAGAAGTATAAGAACGACAAATAATGGTAAATATATTAGCCAGAGATGTGTGAAGCACTTGGTAGGCTGAATTTACTTGAACAGGGTAGTTTTTAGACAGAAAAAGAAATCACTAAATAACAAAAAGTCACACTAGATAGGGAGACTAATAGGGAAAATGAAGGGAGTCATCAGGGCAACAAACCAAACATGAGATCCCAGAGCAATGTCATATCTGAGGGACTTAACATAATCCTTGTGTGAACAAACAGGGGAACATTAAGTAGAAGCAAGATGATGGTATTACTAAGGGTACTAAGTGGTATTCATGAGATCATTACTGAAATACAGTGCTTAGGCATAGTATGCACAAGCAAAGGAGAGGTTAACAAAATAGAAATTTGGTTAAAAAATTATAAATTATATCAGGTCTGGAAAATAAGACCTGCAAGAAAAACTGAAAAAGCTTGGTCTATTTAGTTTGCCAAAGAACAGGTTGGGCAGCTTGATTATGTTCTATAAGTATCCACACAGGGAGATGATTTCTGACAGCAAAGAACTCCAAGCTAGATTAAGGTATAGCAAGATCCAATGGATATAAATTGAAGCCAAACAAATTCAGACTGTAAATAAGGTGGAAAATTTTTAAAGCAAGGGTAATCAGCTATCAAAGCAGTTTAATTTAGGGATGCGATAGATTGTTTATCATCACATGAAGTCTTCATTTAAAGACCAGATGTCTTTCTAAGACCCCTGGCAGACATTAATTTAAATCTGTGATGGAATCTGAGAAGTTTTATCTCAGATCCCAAAAACTGTGCATCCTGCCATCCCAGACATTCAAGAACTGGCTGGCATGGCAAGATACACAATTCTGGTGATCTGAGAGAAAATTACTCAGTTTCCACTGGATGCTAGGACTTTTAAAGCTAGGTCAGGCTGCACAGCACAAGGCACCCTGACACTGGGCTGCCCAGCACAGCTTTAAACTTGCCAGCATGCAAGGACATTCAGAGCCACACCAGGGTCCCATCCATAATGCCAGACTGCCTGGCACAGCTTTCAATTTGCGGGTGCCCAGGAAGTCTAGCACTCTGGTGCTGGACTCCCCATGAGCTGGGAAATTTAAATGAGTTTGCAGACAACCCAGTACCAGGGAGCAGCTCCCAAAGCTCAGTTCCCTTTAGCATGCCACACATTTCAATTAGAGTGATACAAACCAGCCACAAAGATGTTCCAGTGTTAAACATGGAACATCTTTTTGGCTGTTTTTCATTTTTAGTACATGATACGTTAGTTGAACATGTGGCGTGCTATGATTTATTGCTCAATAAACACATTAGAATTGCACAATAACTGTAATGTCTGCTAGGGGTCCAAAAAAAGGTCAACTTTAATATAACTAGTAGTTGCAGATTTAAAACATGAAATACTGAATGAAATTCTGTGGCTTATCAAGGGATGGTAGCCTAAAGCCCATAGGCTGGAGAAGCAGTAATCTGGGCCTGGTGCATTATCTTCTCTACCCTGAGCCATGCTGCTGATCCCCTCTGTATCCCTCTCTGCTCTCTCACTTCCCCCCTCTCCTAAGGCAAATGCTGCTTACTTTCTCTTTCCCCCATCCTCTCATAGCAGGTGATGTTTACCAGAGGTACGCTCTCTTCCTTTTTCCCTATCCTCCTCCTCCCCTAATGAAAAGGAGCAAGGCTTGCTGTGGCAGCCAGTTTGTGGGGAGCCAGCCCACCATTCTAAAAGGTTGCCAACTCCTGGCCTATAAATTAAGCAGAGGCCAAACCAACTGATGATACTGGGATCTTCTGATATTAAAGATCCGTAAAAGTAAGATGACCTCACTGAGTTCCAAAAGACGACCCAAAGTGCATTATGCAAGTGTTTTTTAGGGGTGTGCGAAGCAGGCAATATTCAATTCAGATTTGGCCTGATTCAGAGGACAACGGGGGATGACATGGTTGGGGACCTACAGATCGGTAGCCATCTGGGGGACAGTGATCACCTAATAATAGAATTCACCATAAGACGTCGAGTGGGTAAGGTAACTAGTAGGGTAAAAGTGCTAGACTTTAGGAAAGCTGATTTCAATGAACTCAGGCGATTAGTCAAGGACGCACTGCAGAGTAGGAGTTTTGAAGTGATGGGAGCCCAAGAAGGGTGGCTGTGCCTTAAGGAAATGATCCTTCGGGCACAAAGCAAAGCGATCCCCGAGCAAGGCAAAAGGGGGAAAGAGGCCAGGAGGCTTCCCTGGCTGACCAGAGAAATCCAGGGCAGCCTAAGGGGCAAAAGGGGAGCACATAAAAAGTGGAAACAGGGAGAGATCACCAAAGATGAATATACCTCCTCTGCTCGTGCTTGTAGGGAGGCAGTTAGACGGGCCAAAGCTGCCATGGAGCTGAGGATGGCAACCCAAGTAAAAGACAACAAGAAATAGTTTTTTAGATATATTGGGAGTAAAAGGAAGGCCCAGGGAGGAATAGGACCCCTGCTAAATGGGCAGAAACAATTGGTGACAGACAGAGGGGACAAGGCTGAACTCCTCAACGAGTTCTTTGCCTCAGTGTTCCTAAGTGAGGGACA